TTGTGTAAATGCACTGTAGTGTTTAATTAAAATCACAATTATTATTTAAATGCAAGAATTATTTTATGACCAAGAAAATATCGATTAGACAATCAATAACAGAATCGATAACAAAATATACATGGTGTTTAAGGCAGTGATAATTTTGGCTTGCTGAATACTGTGAGAAGTGTACAGTTTAATTTAAATTGTTGTCAAACTCTATAAGTATGCATATTACACTTTAGTAATTGATTTATTGTTATATTATTATTAATTATTTGTATTTAATTTAATATTATAAGCTTATTAGCCATGAACTTCGTTATAATTGTAATACTATAATTATAAGTGTATTATGTTAAATTATAATGATTTACAAAAGACAAATACCGATATATTTTACTATCAAAATAATATATGAGTATTATACAAAGAAAAATAATGATTTACCTACCTTACTTCAGAAATAAACGAAGAATGGTGTATTGGTGTTTATCGGTTTCTAGCGATGGTGTAACAATCGGGTAGTATGGTTATTGGGTATAGTCTGCCGGCTGTATTTTAAGAAACTACTTTTTTAAACGCCACACCGTAAAATCTATTATAATATTAACTACAAATTACAATAGAAGCTAACGTTTGTTCACAATTGTCGACACAGATACTTTTGAAAACGACTACTTTTATCAATGTTAACCTACTATGGAGCATTATTCAAAACTGCACATCATATAAATGCAATTGAATAATTCTGAAAAATATTTCATTAGCTCCAAGAGGTTACAGAGTATTAAGAAAAAAGATTTGTTTAAAATAATATTGTTAATCATTTTTGCTTAAAATAATTACGTACCAATTTTGTTATTAGGTTATTAGGTATGATGAACTATAAAATAAATAGTAATTTATGATTTGGACATTTTGGAACAATTAATTATTTTTAGTATATTATATTACGGAATAAAAAAGAATTATTTGTAACCAAAATGATACTTGTATAAAATTAAAATATTATTATGTTTTGGTTTAACGAATGAAGTTTTTTTTCGGTATTGGTAAACTAGCTGGTCCTATTGATTTATTGCCATTGGTAGTTCATTCAACATTCGTTTATTAACAAATTATCTTTTCATCATCATCCGAATCTAAAGAATTCCAGAGGACAATGAACAGAAGCCGGTTCTCTTTAAGTTTTCACAAAATTCAACAATCTACGTTGCATGTATATATATAGATATATGTCGTATGTGTACCTATATATGTTTGATGGGAAAAATTATTCTCGTCTTCATTGGGTGACCTTGATATCCAAATTGTATTTTTTCTTTTAAATTGGACTGTAAATTTATGTTACAAATACCAAAAAATTTTAATTACGTTGATATATAAAATACAAACATCGAAATACCTAAGTGCTATATTAAATTTAGTTCTTTGTAGAAGAAAATTGTAATTGATGTTTACATAATTATTTTTCTGACATCATACTTCAAACAAATAGTAGATCACTCGTTAATTCTATTTCTTATCGAAATACACAATTTAAAGAAGATAAAAACAATTATATAATTTATATCCAAATAATTACTATTATTTTCTGAAGTATGTATCATTGTAGGATGGTATAAAATTATTTATGATGTAAACAAGTATATTTAGAAACAATATAGATTTTATCAGCCAAAAATAATTGAGATAACATTAACAAAATAATTCAAATTTAAAATAAAATAAAAGATTAAAAATAAAAACACCATGTAAAAACTATTTCAGTAAAGGATAAGTAGGAATGGCGCCTGTCTGTAGACTCATACATCAGGAGCAGGACAGTCAGCAATACAATTTAAGTTGAAAAAGATTAGAACCAAATGCCAGAGAATTGGATAGTTTACGTCTCGGTTTACGTTTAACGGGCGTATGTGCAGTAAAGTGGAGTAAAGTTGTGAGCTTAAAATTGAAAGTAACGATAAACTATAACTCTTGAACAACGATTTTGGTTTCTTAGTGTCGTTGGCGAGTTATTCGTGAGATCCGAAAAACTCCACTTTGTTCATTTATCAAAATCTATTTCATAATACCTAGTTATTTTCATAAATAAGCTGAAAGGTACAAAATGTTTAATAGAATTGAGCAATAATTTAGTATTGGTAGATAATTAAGAAAAGGGTTACTATGGATCAAGTGAAACTACATGGTACCTATAATTTGTTTGAGATAACAGTTGAGTTAATAGGGAAACCTAACCTAATATTTATAATATGAATTAGGTATGTATTTAAGTGGTGTTTAATTGCTAAAAAATTGCTAAGTTAAAATAATATCACACGAGTTTTAGATCGAGGAAGTGCATTATACGTAGGTAACGCAACATTTTAAAAATAATATACGACAGTTGAATAGAAACTTGAAAGTTTTTAAAATAAAAAAAAATAATAAAAAATAATTGAACTAAAAACATAAATATTACATAATATGTTGACAATTTTGTTTGTTCTTCACAAAATTAAATCTCGTGTATTGTAATTATTAAACATGGATAAAAAAAATGTTATGATCCATTCTCGATAAACTAATTGTTCCAATTTAATAAAAAATGATTTGTAAAACTAATTACCGTATATCCATCAAGGCGACATTTTAAATGTATATAAAAAATATTTGCTAAATATTATATAATAATTAATAATAAATTAAATTTAAATAAGGCATCAATGTATTAAGATTTAAGTAATATCAAATAGTTAAAATGATAAAAATTTATAAAACAGTGTAAACATACAAACTTTATGTAATATTTTTTAAATCACAAAATTAGAAAACATCGATAGATATGTTTTTACAATACCAATTTTCTTATTTTTTAAATTATAATAAACTATTTTTAAGAGGTAGTTTGCAATGAAATTACTTTATAAATATAATATAAGTAATCGGAACTAAATGCATCTTACATTAAAATGTTATTGCTTTTTTATTTTATTTTTATTGTGGACAAAACATCAGATCTCCAACTTAATATACATTACATACCTACAGCTGAGTATATAATTTACATTTTGAATTTTGATCAAAAGATACTTAGTATATATTTTATAAATTGAATTTTTAATTTAGACATTTATACCAATACTAACACTTCTTTTTTTGTTTTGTAACAATATGTGCAAACACGTAACGTTTATGTATTACGATGAATTTTAGTTAAACTGATGTCATATTAAATAATGATGTATATACTATATAATGTTTTAAAACGCTATTGTTAAAATTGATCGGTAATTACCTAATTGAACTTAGTTAAATTCTACTCACAAAGAAAACAGAGATCATAATAATAATATATATCATTGTTAATGATTACTTGGTTTAATATTTTAATGTCACTATAATGTCTAATTTAGCCAAACCAAGATTTCTTTTAAGTACTTACCTAATACATTAATTTTATTCAGTTTCAGATGAAATATCCAGCACTTTTAAAAATAATTTACTTAAAAATTCATTTTATATCAATACTGAATAGCCTATAGGTACCACGTGGTCGATAACACATAAAATAAACTTAAGATTTCGCATGGACTTAATTTGTCGACATACTTTAAAATATGAAATACTTGATCTAAAACATCAAGTGTAGACTCAGTCTTGTTAGTCAAGTTAAAGAGCAAAATAGAATATTTCTCAAGTAATTTTGAAGAAAAGCTACATTTTAGCACCTACGTTTCAAATTTTTCAAATTGTACTACTGTTAATCAATTGTATGCATTTAATTAAAATATTAGTTGATTTTTTTATTTTATTACAATATGATCACGCGATTAAGCGTTTAACTTTGTACAAATATCCCATAGTAGGTATGAATTTATTATGATGCATTGATGCATTAATGCATTATTGAGTTTATAGTTTCCTATTTCCATACTATGCTAATAATGTTAAAATCGACAAAATTTCTTTCTGTCTCGGAATCGTCCAATGATTTTAAGTGCTTTAGTTTTATCTGCAGAAACATTGATTAATTCCACAGCGGAAATATATATTATAATATACAATATTGTTGTACCTATACTGTAATTCAGATAAGTTAAAACAAAACCTAATCGCTTTAGACATAAAAATATGTAATCGCGGTGTTTAAAATCACATTTACACACTCACTCACACACACACACACACACACACACACACACACACACACACACACACACACACACACACACACACACACATACATACATAGGATCCGCTTGAAACTTGTCAAATTGAAAGATATCGATCGGTACCTGAGGCGTCGGTACCGAAAACAGGAATATTCGTTTCCATCGTGTGTGTAGGTATAATATATAACTACATAATACACGTATATAGTATAGCCGTATAGGCCGTGTTATTATTATTATTATAGGCCCATTAACCGTGATTATATCCGATTAATAAATAATAATCTCGGAACGTCGTGTGACTGATAATATTATACCTATCACAACACAACATTAAATTTGCACCTCGGCGCTGCGGCGTTTCGAAATATGGCGAGTATAATATTATAATACGGAGAGTACTTAATAACAACCGATCGTTCGTTCGATACACATTATACATAATGCTTGTATATTATAATGCTTACAAGACGTATTTCGGTTAATGGGATCGTGTGGGCATTGGAGATTGAGGATTTCCGACGATGACCCGGCAGTGCGGTCGCGTTTAAATCGCGCGCATTATCTCGTCGATGGAATAAATAAAGGGAAAAAAACTTATAAAAAATTATTTTTAAAAAACGTTGCCACTACTCATCTTGACCGACCCAACGATACAACGATAAAACGATAAAACAGACGTGCGTATTATATAATAATTATAATATTGTATAGGTAGGTAGGCGTAAGTATATAGGCCGGTAGACATAATATTATTATTATTATTATTATTATTATTATTATTATTATTATCACTACAATATTTTTAGTATTTCCGTCTTTGGCGTTTATAATATATAATGATTATATCGGACTCACCATAGTCGTTCGTATCCTCGGCCGTGCTGTTCACCGTGCCGTCCGGGAACACCTGCAGGTATCTGTTTTTGATGAACATCTTGATTTTCCTGGCGGTGCCTGTTATGTGCGACAGGTTGGCCGACGACCGGCCGCTCCTGGCCGACGAGCCCGCGACCGCGGCCACCAGCGCCGCGTCGTCCACCCGTTCCGCGGCCGCCGCGACGCCGTAATACGCGGCCCGGTCCCCGAGTGCAGACGTGCCCGACACCGCGCCACCGCACAACACGGCGTACAACGCCAACACACTGACCGTCACCACAACACTCCGCCGGTGGCCGCCGCCGCTGTTGCTGCTGCTGCAGTGCGACCGTTTCACCATGACTTTAGGCCATCGCTGGGTGGTACCGGGCAGGGTACCGCCGGGTCAGGGTCCGTCGCGCCGGACGCCGGTGCCCGCTTCGCACGGCGTCCGCATAACGCCGGCGGGCGTGCGGTTTGCGGGTGTCGTCGACCTCGGGAGGATAATATTGTCACGGCGTGCGTTTACCCTACGGGGTGACCCGTCCCGCCAAAATAGCAGCGGACTGGTTGAACGGCGGCTACGCCTCGGTTTGTGTATTCCAAAAGCTCAAAAAACGACTTTTTATTATTTTTTTTTTTTTTTAACCAACGGAAAAAAAATTTAAATCGGCAGAAAACTACGTGTGAATATTAGGCATACGAATATAACGGGTACACGGCCGGATCACGAGCTCGCGAATTTAGCAATGTGCTAGAGGTCGAACGCGCGAAAACGTAGGTAATGAAAAAAAAAAAAATCGAACGGATAAATTTGCTCAAAAAAAAAGGTCACTTCTGAGTCTCGTTTTTCGTATATTAATATTATTTATGTGATTATCGTTTTTACTCGAGAAACCGGCGGCAGGTCGGTCACGTCGTGTGCCGCGTCCGTCTCGCTCGCGTCGTCTTGTCGATCGGATCACTATTTATTTAATTTTTTCCTCTTTACGTCTTCTGCTCTTTCCCCTCTAATAAACTGCGCGACGTGCGGTTGGTGACTGGCCGAGAGAGTGGCGAACGCGAGGAATCACGGAATCACGGGGACCGCCAGACGGTATTCAATTTGTCGGTCAGACCATGTGACCCGGCGCGCGCGTGCGGCCCACAGATGGAGCCACTATAGCCGGTCTGGTGGTTCGCGCCGCCTTAACCGCGATGCTCGATTAGTATGATTTGTTCCTGTTCTTATTGTGGTTGATACGAATGATGCGAATAGCGATTTTCGTTAAGCATAATAATTATACTTTATTGTATTACGATTTGAAATTCAAACGATCGTCATGAGTAGGTAAGGACTTTGAATCTCCAAAAAGTAAAAACCTGCAAAAAAAGCATTAAAAATGAAGTAATAACTAATAATAGGTATACTTTAAATGATTACCAAATTTTTTTTCTTGGAATATATTGTATCTAATATACATATACTATAAGGATAATATAGGTTTATTATAATATGTATCTGCTCGATAAAATGGCCTTTTATATGAAGCACTATTTATTTAGCACTTTCATTTATACTCGATTTTAATTTTTAATAATAAATTGAAAAAAAATGTACGTTTTTTTAAAATAATTAGCTCCTGCGCTTACGAAAATTAATTTAGGTTAAGTAAAAGACATTAAAAATAACAAAAACCGCATAAAGTCCAAAATTAACCCCAAAAATCAAAATAAAATGTTGTCTATTTGTCCATCGTATTCTTCTATGAATGACATTTATATATAGTCGAGACAGATTTGTTTTGAGCAGGTAAAAGCAAATGCCGTCGAAATCAGTCCTCTAGACACAAGTCATAGGTTACATCTGCCTGTAATAGACAATAATGTTATTTTTTTATTCCGGCGCCAGCGGTACGGCACGCGCGCGCGGCCGACGTTTACGCGATGTGCCTCAACAGTGTGTTGTTATTTTGTTATAATATAATATAGCACTGTCCGTTTCGCTTGGACCTCGTCAAGGTGCTTTTCGTTGCTATTTTAGCTATTATAGCAATCGTCGGATCGAAAATAGCAACGGACCCACGGTTATGACAACACTATAAAAATCGCGGTATTCGGTTGCTAAGTGGTATGGCCTACCATGCTTTTTAATATAGGTACCTGTGTAGCTGCCTGTATAGTGTAGTATAGTTTAGTAGTTTAGTAACGTTTTATTAAATATAATATGGTCTATACTTATTCCATACTTTATCATTTTTATACCATTAATGTGTGGAGTAAGTAAGCGGTTTCGTGTAATGACTATATAGTTTCTTATTTTCTCTCACAACTATCCGTCCCTAATTATTATTATTTTTGGACACGATACAAACATAAGACTCGAACGTGTTTGTTATTAACTGTCGCGCACTCGTACCTGCAATACCATTGAATAGTTGAATTCATCTTAAGCTAGTTTAGTCACACCTGTATTAAACTCAAATATCCACTTTCCGAGCCTAGTACTATTAAGAGACTAATTCAGTTTATTAAAAGCTTGAGATTTGTTACTTTACAAGCGATATCACTTATACCTACATAGGTAGATATAAGGTTTAAACTTCAAACGATAGTCGGTACCTACTTCCATGGTAGGTTCCTATACCTCTACTTATTTTGAAACTTTAGCGTGTGTTGGATCTAGGGTGGGTTAGGATTTAACCCCGGGCGTACAATTATCTCAATTACTAGGGGCGTACATTTTGTTTTTATTTCATTACACGTCACGTAGAAAAAAAATTAAGCCCACACAGAAAAAAGTTCAATACAGTCTTAAGGTGTCCCCCTCTTTCGAATTTATATCAAAATATTATTTGTTTTTTGACTGTCCGAGGACAGAGACTTTTTATTATCAGCAAATTATAGAAAACTTAAGCATATATTATACATGGATACATTAACTAGTTATTTTTCATTATTGCATTTATAATATGTCGAGTAATACTGAACGCAATAATCAGTGGTGTTTATATTGGCTTATACGCTTTATACCCATTTACTATTTGGTGAATTAGCTTATTTACTGTAAAAATAGTAATTATAATATAGTATAGTATAGTATAGTATAGTATAGTATAGTATAGTATAGTATAGTATAGTATAGTACCTATCTATTTTTTTAATTAGGTAATCCGTATCTGTATTATTTATAATTATATTACTTATATTATTATTTATTTTATATTTAATATTATTATACATATATATTTTTACATTTGTCATATGACATTTTTATCGATCATCAAATAATTGATATTGGTTATTACCACGTATATAAATGTAGCTATTGTAAAGTACTTTAGTCTATAGTTAATCATCGTCCGTGACCGACGAGTGACGCCCGTGATTATTGCAGTTGTTTTGATAAAAGTATGTTCAAGTTGCCGCAATCACGGAGTACCGAATAAGAATTACCAAGAGAATTGTCCAGTTAAATGTTATAAAATGTTGAATCTGTTAATGGCCTATGAATTAGTTGTTAATGCATAGGTGAACAAATAAAAATGTACAACAATTGGGTAACAAAAAATTTTATTTTTGTTAAGTTTGCGAGTTTGTGAATGTATTCAGTGTAAAATAATTGTTCCCGAACGAAACGATCGTCTTTTTGATGGGTTGAATCTGATGATTAGTTGTACGATTATAAAATTACAATATTCATTGCATCTTATCTACTGTACAGTTTATTTACGAAAACACCACTGACAATAATTATAAGGGATCGACATCGAATTGAGGCGATTATAGGAGTACCATTTTTTTCTATGTGCTTTTAATTCATAGTAGACCAGGCTAGAAATGTTTCTTATATAAAGAGGAGTTCAAAAATGAAAATTTAAACTGATTCGTTTATTTTACAAAAAATTCCATATTTTAATATTTTTAATATTGTTTTTACATATTTTTACTTGCATTTTTTTCATATTTCGTAAATTTTAAAATAAAATGCTTATATCCCTTAATTTTTATTTATAACTTTTCTGTATGCTTGTCGCTGACATACACACGGAAAAGAGGTTTAATATTCAACCCCCCATTGATACTTTTTACTGTATGATTTTTTAGTATCGTCACTACAGATATATGAAAATTAATAAAATAAAAATAACATTTTGATGTACACATGTCACATATGCATATATTTTTTTATGACATCACCCATTGAAAATATTTAAATATCTGTGCACACCACTTGACACACTACTATTATAATATTATAGTATTATATGGGTAACTCTACAAATGGCGATTTGAACGATATACCTACAGAGAACTGTACTAACAATTTTGGAGGGAGAGGTTTAATTATGAAACGTCAAAACACTCTTAACATGAACTATTTTCCTTAAAAATTATAAGAAAAAAATAAATTACTGAAAATGGGGTTATTCTTTTATTTACCTAGTATATATGTTGGTATAGGTATACTTTTTTAGTTTTTATCAGGCAAATTTACGATTATCAACCACGTAAATCTATAGTAATTGGTAGGTAATAAGTAGGTATTTTTATCTAAAAACCATAAATTACTTTGATAGATAAGTAGTAGGTATTAGGTACGACGTAAATGGGTATATTAATTGTTTATTCCGAATATATTTCGTGATAAAATTAATAACGAGATAAAACTTTTGAGAACTATCGGTAATTGGTATCGTATTGCTTACATAATGTTCAATTTGAATGCTATAAGAATCAATGAATTACAATTGCAGAGCTTCATTGTGAGTATAGTACCGAATATAGGCGTATTGTGATTCACCATTTTATTTAGCCAAAAGTCAAAACAATTATTTATATAAATTAAATAAATACAATAGTATAAAGAAAAGGATAAACGTATTGTATTTATTAATTTCAGATAAAACGATTGTATAACAAATAATTTATTATTTAAAAGCTAAAAGTTTTTCAGAAGTCTTTCACAACCACATAGGTATTTTGTCTCTGTCTTTCAAACGCATACACCATACAACATAACAATATTTGTATATTTGCATTCAACAGTTCCGATTTTGTAATGCTAGCTTTAATATTTGAATGAATTTACCTACATTGTTATCAAATTTAAAGGTAAGAACTATGCATGTGTGTCTCATTGCCCGTTGGTATCTTACAATAGTTTAATTTTTAGATAGTTATGAGTATGTAACATACTACTATTTAAAAGTGCTTATAACTTACTAAAAAATTTAAATAATGCAAAAAACAGACGGAAGAATACACGTAAAGTTCTCATAATTTGAAGTTTGATAAAATAAATTTTCTGTGAACATTTTGGATGATAAAACAAATATTAAAAAATCAAGAGGAAGTTTTATTATAGCTCTGCAGTGTTTCAATAATTCGTTATAGATTAAATGAAAGTGAATATCTTAACACTTAAGCCGGCACTTGAAACATATTTTTTAATTAAGTCCCTTATTAGTGAAATCATTTAATACTTAACGAAATCATGTATAGAATGTAGATGCATTCAATAGTAGTATGTACAATATACATGTTATGGGTGAACTGGTAAATATAGGTGGTATAGGTACCTAATATCCACTGAAAAAACATGTTTATTTATTTGCAACAACAAAAAAAATATGATGATTGACGATGAATTTCATAACAATAAATTTGTTAAATTTAACAGATCGTTAAAATTTAATACTTCAATTTTTCAACTATAGTTTATTGATGTTTAAACATTTTAGGTACTAAAAGTTTAGTGTTTATTTTAAATTCTATAATGGGCTTTTATATGTAACCCATGACCAGAATTGTAATACTGATAAGCACCATGTAATGAATACTACTTCGTACTACGATATTTGAAAAATATAAAGTTATAACTTATAAGTACCTACCCATCATAATATATTTCAAATTTATAATAGAAAAATATTATTCTGCTAATACACAAAATGATTTTATTTGTGAGTACATCAATATCATATGCGTTTAACACAATATGTTTAAATCATTATAAGTAGGTAATGCACTGATTTTAACAATCAAACTAGGTAGGTACCTATATATCAACTACACAATATAGTATGTTT